TACTTCAACTTTACAACTGTTTTTTAAAAGAGCAAGGGTAATAAAATATACAAATGTTTTTTAAAAGTTTTGGTGAGGGGCTACGTTGATCTGCAAAGTGGACAATAATGTTTTGAAAATCGGATCGGCCGGTTCAATCGGTTTAATCGGAAATCATTGCCTAGTCCGGTTCAATCTACACCGGTTGAACTACTATTAGTGAATCGGCCGGAACCATTGAACCGTTTAAATCGGACCAGCTGAAAACCGGAAAAAATCGTCAATTTTTTTAAATTAAACCAAACGACGTCGTTTGTTAAACGAGCCAAGCCGAACTCGAGTATTGCTGAGCTCGAATCAAACTTGGAAATTTTAAAAGTAAGCTCAACTCGACTCAAACTCACAAGCTAAAAATTATCAAGTTCAACTCGAACTCGAAATATAATATTGAAACTTGAACTCAAAAACGATCCTATTCCATTAATGAACTCTGCATCAGATACTATCAAGCCATCCACTGTGTCCACCTTTAAGCTCACAGCTGATCAATTGAATACACTGAAAGATAAAGCAAATGCTGCAAATGCACACAGTGGTATAAAACATATAGTAGTTTCAACATCTTAGCTGCACATATATGGCGTTGTGTAAGTAAAGCAAGGGGTCTCTCAAATGATCAAGCTACCAAGCTGAGTTTTCCGATTGATGGTTGATCGAAATTGAATCCTCCTCTCCCAGAAGGCTACTTAGGCAATGTAATCTTTCCGGCTTCACAGATTGCTCGAGCCGGTGATCTCAGAATCGAACCGTTTATCGATACCGTAAAGAAGATCAATGAACGATTGAAGGTGATCAATGATGAATATCTGAGATCATCACTTGATTACATGGAAAAAGTGTCTGATTTAAGCGCATTGGTTAGGGGACACCATACCTGCAGATGCCCTAATCTTAATATTGTTCCATGGATATATTTGCCCCTATATGATGCAGATTTCGGATGGGGTCGTCCCTTGTACATGGGACCAGCAAATGTCGTCCATGAAGGCAAATTTTACATAATTCCAAGTCCAGATAATGATGGGACCTTGTCACTAGTAACTCGCTTGGAAACCTCTCACTTTAAACTCTTTGAGCAACTTCTTTATGAATTTTAATAGTTATGTTGTTTGATCAATGTCGTACTTGTGATGTAATAGATGGGAACTAAGATTTGTATTTTATGTTTCGGATTCTAATGTTTGATTGTTATCGTAATTTTTTATTGTGAGTAGGGATAATATATTGATTGTTTTAGTAAGTTATATGATTTCTATCGAGTTTATTTATAAGATTTTAGTGATTTGAAACGAACATAAAAATTAAGCCTTTAATAATAAGTATCGAAAAAAATTAAATCATAATAACTACAAAAATTAAATAAATTTGCTTTTAATATTTTTTATTATGTTCAATAAACTATTTAATAAATACATCAAATTTTAAATAAAAAACATTAATAAATTTTATTAAATATTCAACTACTCACACAAAGCAATATGATCCTTTTATTTCTTTTTTGATTGTCTTCCCGATTTCAAGGCTTCACCTTGACTAATTCAAACCGACTTGCGTTGTACACCTGGTTTTGGTGAGTGAGTCTCCTAACAAGGATTTTTTACATACACAAAGACTCAAACTTGAGACCTTGCTTAAACGATAGCAAATTGCATGATCCTTTTTTAAAAGGACACATGTTAGATTTTATTCCTCTACTACTACTATAAAAGAGATAATCACTCTTTTTCACTAATATATACAATTGATTGTTCATTTCTTTCTTTTAGAAAAGTTTTTTTTAAGAGATCAACACAAATTCCACTTCACTACTTTTGGTGTATGAGATTTGAAAGATTGTATTGATCTTAGAGCGCAATATCCACTAGTGAGATTACATCAATCCAAATGAAATAATTTATAAGATAATGACTTTTACCACGATAAAATAATTTATATCTTTTTTTATTTTTAACATGTTCAATTCTTTTCATGTCATACGAATCAAGTGGCCTCGGTGGTAAAAGAATTGTTATTATTTCTTAAGGTCTTAGGTTTGAGTACCCTAAATACCAGGAGTGTGAGTATTTAATATCAAATGGTTAAGAGTTATCTTTAAACAAATTTTACCTTATCTTAGATTAATAAAAAATTTCTTTTTATTTTTTTCTTTTCTATTTCATCATTATTTATAATTGACCTCCCATAAATTAATATTCATGAAAAATATTTTTTTATTTATAAAAAAAATAAAGGTTTTAAGTTGGGCCTCTGCCAAGGATTTATCATTTTCTTTTACTACAATTTTCCCATATAATTAATTTTTTTAATTAATAGTAATGGTAAGTTTTATCAAATATCGAAGAAACACTTTAAAACTTATGTTTAAAAATCTAAAAATAATATTAATTATATAAATCGAACATTTTCTTTAAAATCAATCTTATAGATTAATTGATAATTAATTATTTAATTTAAATTTTAATGTTCTATTAATAATATAACTAATAATTGCCTCGATGAGAACACACAGCCACAAACAGTATAATCTACTCCATTTTCCTTCTCCTTCTTTCTTCTTTTTCGTCTTCCAAACAACCAGATGGAGATTACCATAAAGGAGTCCACGATTGTTCGTCCAGCTGAAGACACTCCCAAAAGAAGCCTATGGAACTCCAACTTGGACGTGGTGATGCCAAGGTACCATCTCCCTACTGTATACTACTATAAGAACCCTAATGCTTCTTCTGGTTTCTTTGATACCTTAAAGCTCAAGGACGCTTTGAGCAAGGTTCTTGTGGCGTTTTACCCCATTGCTGGAAGGTTGAGGCTTGATGAGAATGGGAGAATTGAAATATTATGCAACGGTGAAGGAGTTTTATTCGTGGAAGCTGAAACTAGTTCAATAATGGATCATTTGGTTGGTGATTTTACTGATAGCTCTCAAGTTTTACGATTAGTTCCCAAGGTTGACTATTCTGGTGGAGTATCTTCTTCTCCCCTTCTTATATTGCAGGTAATCTAAGCATATTATATATATATATATATATAAGATCGACGGTTACACCGTGGAAGTAATATTATGATTGACCAGAAATGTAAAAGTCGATATATCTTTTATTTGGTAGTATGACGTACAGTTTGTGAGATATTAGGTTAAACTTGTTTGTTTTAGTTATATTCTCGTCGTTATTTTGGTGTATGTCGGGTATAACTAGATGTCTTATCGTTTGAATAGTCGTCGTAGTAATTCGCTGTCTTTTGTTGGTATTTTCTTAGGAGTTTAATGTTTGTCCAGGTTGTAACCCTGATTGAGAATTGATCGATGCTATTGTAGGGGAAATTTTTTGAGTTATTTTTGTGTATTTTGATTAGATTTAGGTGTGGATCTTATATGGTTCTTTTGAGAATCATTTTATATTTATTGTATGTAGATTTTTAAATAAAATAAAATATTTATTGTGTAATATATATATATATATTCAGATTCAGATCAACTTATACTAGTATAAAACTTTTAATTTTTTTAATTAGCTTATTTTAACGAAAATACTTGGTTGATATAATACTAATATCATGAGGACTCCAACTGATACAATTATTTTGTCTTGATTTATTGTCTGCATATTTTACTAGGTAACTAAGTTCAAATGGGGTGGAGTTTGTCTTGGAGTTGGGTTTCAACATACTTTAGGAGATGGCTTATCGGCTCTTCATTTCATCATTAGTTGGGCTAACATTGTGAAAGGTTCGTCGCCCGCCATTGCCCCGGTCATCGACCGAACTCTTCTCCGTGCTCGAGATCCGCCAACGCCTAAATTCCACCATGTTGAATATGGTCCTCCTCCATCAATGAAACGTACATCGGGTGATCTTAAGCCATCCATTGTTTCCACCTTTAAGCTCACAGCTGATCAATTGAATACACTGAAAGCTAAAGCAAATGCTGCAGAAGCACACAGTGGTATAAACCATTGTAGTTTCAACATCTTAGCTGCACATATATGGCGTTGTGTAAGTAAAGCAAGGGGTCTCTCACATGATCAAGATACCATGCTGAGTTTTCCGATTGACGGTCGATCGAGATTGAACCCTCCTCTCCCGGAAGGCTACTTCGGCAATGTAATCTTCCTAGGGGCACAGATTGCTCGAGCCGGTGATCTTGAAACCGAACCATTTACCGATTCCGTAAAGCGGATCCATGAACGATTGAAGGGGATCAATGATGAATATCTGAGATCATCACTTGATTACATGGAAAAGGTGTCTGATTTAAGCACTCTGGTTAGAGGACACCATACTTTCCGATGTCCAAATCTGAATATTTCTCCGTGGATATGGTTGCCTATATATGATGCAGATTTTGGATGGGGTCGTCCCATGTATATGGGGCCAGCCAATGTCGTCCATGAAGGAAATTCTTACATAATTCCAAGTCCAAATAATGATGGGAGCTTGTCACTGATAATTCGCTTGGAAACTTCTCACATGAAACTCTTTGAGCAACTTCTTTATCAATTTTAATAGCTATGTTATTTCATCAATATCTTACTTGAAATGCAATAAATGATAATCGGTATTTATATTTATTTTGAGTTTGCGGATTATAATGATTGGTTGTTATCTGAATATTTTATTTCGGGTATGGATAATATATTGATTGCTTTAGTAAATTATCTACTTGTATGATTTTTACGAATGCTGGTCTTAATTAATACTGTAATAATCTAAGGATAATTTTTTCTACAGAAAAATTACCGTGAAGAGAATAATAGTAAGGTTTAATATAAAAAATTGTTAAATTATACATCTTTTCTCGTTTAGATGTCTAACGTTTTTTGTTTGTTAATGTAGGCATCTAATATTTTCGACGTTATCATTTGAAGTATATGACCATTAAAAAAATTCAATAAAAATTAATACATAAATGTATTACTCTCGTGTTTGATAATAATTTTTTTTTATTTTTTTATTTAAAGATAATCAAAGCTGAAAACGGATGAGCTGCTTCAAAATAGTACTTTCCGGTTCGACCAACAGAGGTAAAAATCAACATAAATTTGTCTCTGGACTCGCTTCCTTTGCGAATTAAGGAGAAATATCTGGGAAAACTACCATGGTGGAGAGACGAGTGATACGGTATTTTCAAGGTGGCAATTTTTCTGTCAAGTAGAGAGAGAGCTTGTCTCGTATAACCAAGGCGGCCTGATCAGACGATTCGCAGTATTGTCGACAGTAACCGATGTCATGATGATGAGACAGCGACATATCGTCCAGCACTTCGTCCTCGAGATCGATAAGAATGTTGTGCAACAAGCAGCAAACGAGGATGATTCTCGGCAATCTGTTCCGATCAGGCATCCACATCACCCCATGTATTATTCTCCACATCTCCTTGAGCCTCGCCAGTGCCATCTGCACTACCATTCTGGTTGCAGCGTGTCGTTTGTTGAACTCGATTTGAAGATCCGAGAGGCCTTTTCCTTGATACGGAGTCAAAAGCCACGGCAATAGGGGAAAACCTGCATCCCCTATAATATATTCTCTTATCTCGGTTCCTTCGGAAATGTTTAGCTTCTTTCCGCTTAGCCTCTTTCCTTCTTCGGAAAGTTTGAATAAGCCTGAGCTCCTGAGGACGATGGCATCACTTAAACTCCCTGGCCACCCAACAATCACATCACGGAACCTCATCTCGGGGTCCACAACTGCCTGCAAAAGCATGCTGTAGTTCTTCTCTCGATCAAACCAGACATGGTTTGAAGGGTCTATTGTAGGCAGAGTCATGACAACATGAGTGATGTCGATTGCACCGCAGCAGTTAGGAAGGCCCCTTATTTTCTCCAACTTGGACTTTATTGCCTCCATCTCTGCTTCATTTGAAGGCCAACTGAGATGGTGCAGCCCTCTTGCCTCCATGGCTTCGACAAACCGCCAGGTTATCTGAGAAACAGTCGACTGATTCATCCCAAAAGTATCTCCAATGATCGATAATGATTCACCAGAGCTAAGCCTTCTAAGAGCAACGGCAACTTGATCATTTAGAGACAAAGGCCTGCCATTTATATCAGTGTAGTTCGATTGCCTAGCCATCAAATCTTCTTTCACTAGTGAACAGATGTAGTTGAATGTCTTTCTTGAAATTCTGAAAACCGATTCAAAATTTTTTGAACCCTTCGATTGGGATAAAGGGCCTAAACAGTGAGAAGAAAACAGTTGATGTAAGAACGTTAACTTAATCCACGGAAAATCTGTTTACCGTAAGGCTCGCTGATCCCAGCATATCAACAACATAAAGGCTCGTAACCTAGAATTAAAACAACATCACATACCCAAAATAAAAGTTCAAAGCAATATCGAAAAGCACATCTCTCTTTGATTTTCATCACACATGTCGAAGCTAATCAGATAATTCAGCATTTTCTTACCATCGACTTGCCATCTTTACTTAAGCAAAAGATGTGTATGGAGATATAAACATTGATTTCATGGTCAATTTCTGAGTAGAATTTGCATGATGAGGCAAGATCCACACTCCAGCTGTGTTTGGCATTTAAGCTCTTCTTAAGGACATTTCCTAAGACCATTTAACAGACGACTTCGTACAAACAAAACCAAGTTTCAATTAAAATGACAAGTTGCAATCTGAAATTTATACGAACTTGCATATCACTCATCGATTTCATGGTCATTCACATGCAAACGATATCTATAACATACCAACTGCAATATCAAAATGGGAAGTTTATTGTGCAGTGTCTCAAAATTCATTCTGGAGAAGGGAGTAAAAGATGAAAATAGACCTGGGGAGACTCACTGCTTAGCTTTTCAAGATGCACATACCGAAAACTCTAATACCTAGTCCATAAAGGAAAAGGAAAGTATCGAAACAGGTTCCTGTCATAATAAAAATGCCTGTCATGATAGCTGACGGTAAATAGAGTTTGAGAAAGGAGACTCCTTGCTTAGCATTTCAAATGCACATACCGAAAACTCTAATACCTAGTCCATAAAGAAAAGGAAAGTATCGAAACAGGTTCCTGTCCTAATAACTATAAACATGTCGATCTAACTCATGCCTGGATGCCCTTGAATAAACAATGCCTGTCATGATAGCCAACGGCAAATAGAGTTTGAGAAAGGAGACTCCTTGCTTAGCTTTTCAAGATGCACATACCGAAAACTCTAATACCTAGTCCATAAAGGAAAAGGAAAGTATCGAAACAGGTTCCCGTCCTGTAACTATAAACATGTTGATCTAACTCATGCCTGGACATCCTTGAATAAACAATGCCCGCCATGATAGCCATTGACAAATAGAGTTCGAGAAAAGACTAACATCAGTACATCACAGGCAGAGGAAACACGAACTATGCGAAAATACATTTCATATTAAGTTATAAGGGATATTTACTAACCGCATTCCACCCAAATGACCTTACATCAACTTACTCAATGCCCTAAATCTAAAATTTCATCAGAAACTGATTGAAACAAAAACCTAACAGATGCATATTGGAACAGAGTTCATAGGGATAACCAAATTCCCAGCAATGCAAAACAATCCGCAAATACATAAAGCTTCAAACTTGCAGAGAATTTAAACCAGCAAAGCTCTATCTCATACCATACTAACACAAACCGGATATATTTATAAATTCAATCAAATTAAAAGAAACCCATTTTGACCCAAGCCATTAAATTTCACCAAACACAATGCAAAAGCCAATAGAAGTTGTAATCACCATAGATATTCAAGTTCGAGCCAACAGAAAAGCATTGTACAGAAACTGAAGAATAACATAATCAAATGCCTTAAACATTGAGAACTATGGAGAAGCATCTTGTTGTAATACCTGAAATCCTCTTGGAGAACTCATCCCACCAATCCAAAGGCTGAGGTTGATACCCCAAAGAAGGAACAATGGTAGAAGGAGGAGGCAAGACACTCTGGTCAACCACCTTCTTGTCTGCTGTTTTTCTTCTTCTTTTGAACCCTTTAATGGGTCCCATTGAAAGAAACCCAACCCCCTTCAGATTAAGCTTAGCCTAGAAGAACTTCAAAGAACCTAACAACAAAGATCAAGAGAATCTCGGGAGAAAAAGATTGTGGGTTTGGGTTTTGAATGCATTGAGAAGTGGTTGAATGAAGCTAGTCATAGGATGGATGGTGAAGATTGAAGAACCAAAAAGGACTTTGAGAACACAAAAACGCAAAGAAAAGAACCCCTAGGTAACTATGTAGGCATTAGGCAAGTGAGGTGAGTGATTTTCTTTTGTTGTTTAAGGAAACACTATGGGGAGGAAGAAAGACGAAACAAGTTTCATTGCCTTTTCAATGGTCATTGACCTCAAGGACCAGGTCGTTATATATAGAGATATATTTGCAGTGAGAGAATTAGATCTAATTACACAATATTAAATTTATTATTTTTACATTAATTAATATAATTTGAAGAGAAGTGCAAAAATGTTGTTCACGGTTGTTTTATTGAATTTTGATTATTAAAAATTATAGAATAGTCTCCGACTATAGTATATTATTTTGTTGGATTTCTCGATTATTAAAAGTTACAAAATGGTCACCTAGCTATTCATATGTTCCAATCTCTTTTTTTTTTGTTAAAAATTGATGGTCGTCTGAATTGGACATTAACCTATTAACCGAGATATGATAAAATCTAATCACAGAACAATTTGAGTTATATTTTTAGATGTTAACATATTACCGTCTAATTCAGATTATCGTCGTTTTTTAATAAAAAAAATAACAAGTTTGAAACATATGAATAGTCGGGTGATTATTTTATAACTTTTAATAGTCGAGGGACTCAACAAAGCAACGTCTTATAGTTATGAGAATATTTTATAATTTTTAATAGTTGAGATACTCAACAAAATAATACTCTATGGTTGAGGGATCATTTTTGTACTTTACCCTATAATTTTAACAATTGACTTTTATTAATTTAATCATTATAAGATGTAAAACATTTTATATTGTATATATATTTTCTGTTCTTTGTTCAATAAAAAAAAATCTATCACTGAATTTTCAAATATTATATTTGATCCTTTTGTAATATTTTAAAAGTTGTTGATAGAAATTATTTTAATACGATTAAGTGATATTTAATATACTTTATCCTTTGATTACCGGATATTGTATTTAGCTAGTAAATTATGTGAAATTGTTAGTGGTTAGCTAATCGAGAATATAGAGCTTCGGAGACTTCAAAATTCGATAAGTAGAAGGCTGGCAACAAAAGTATAACAGGCAAAGAAAATCCGAAAAAGGTATAACAACCCATACTTCAAAAATCAATAACAAAAGATTATCTGTAGTTTATATTATATGAACTACATACAAATAAATAAATAAAAAATCAAATTTCACAAACCAACGTGTCACACTGACATCTGATATCACAAACTATTTCCAAATAACATACTTGGGTGCAGGCGAGCAGAATCGGGTGCGATCTAACAACTATATCGATGGGCCAGGCAGATAGATTAGAGGATCGATACATTTCCAGTGAACAATGTAGTTACACCCATTCTGTAGACACTCAACAGATAGATCTTCACAATGCCGATGACATCCATGGCATTCAGGGTAGTCGAAGACTTTTCGGACGAAAGTGAGTGGATGTGGATGTTCCGTTGCTGTGTAGGTCTTCCCGATCTTCATAAATGAGTATTTATCAATAGCACACTTGCGATGAACAGAATTGTCACAGATTGCACAATGATAAAACCACTGGCTTGGATTTCTTTTTGTTTCACAAACATCACAATAATGATATTTTGAATAACTGTTATCTTCATGATACGTAAGCATGAGGGGATGTTCATCACACTTGTGTAGAATCTTGTTGGGAAGCCTAAGACAACGGTAGCGCACAGAAAAATTGCACTCTTTGCATGCAAACGCAACAACTAGTTCATTTACACAACCATTGCATTGCCCTTCATACTCATCGTAAAAGGTAAGGATGTGTTCATGCCCTTGGCATGCGGGGTTATCTGAAACTTGAACACAAACAAGGCAGAAACATTCCTTACACACATTACATTGGTATGCCAAACCATTGTTGAACTCAAATTGACAATCTCTACACCAAACAATGTCATAAAAAATGAGGGAAATGGGACGTTGGTGAAGATGACCCCAATAATACATCTTCTTAGTCAATTCAGCACATGACTTGTGGAGAAAGAAATCACATTGTGAACAATAATAAAACGAAGTCGAGATGAACAACATGCATCCATCACAGTATCTATCATCCTTAACATCATCGATGAAAATCAAGTTGTGGGGATGGCTTACATGGTTTATCTCCGTCGGTACATCGTTTTCTCCAAACTTGGTCTCTTTAATAACAACAAGGCTGAATTGTTGTTAAGCAGATCATCTGTTTCTTCCAAGTCATCATCGAACTCGTACCAACTGTGTTAGGTATGGCTCATAAATATACCAGTAAAGACATGGTTAATTTTGTAATTATGTACCAGGGTTTTCTATTATAAATAGAGATGTAACCTAGACCTAAAATATCATTGAATAAAAACTTCTAGCGCCGCCTAGGCACCGAGGACGTAAGCACATTGCCGAACCTCGTAAAATTCTCATGTTCTTTTGTTTTCTTTACCCGTTTTCGTCAACAATTGGTATCAGATGTCAGGAGCAAAATTCGAAGTCGCGAAATTCGATGGTTAGGGTAACTTCGGATTATGGCAAACGAGGGTGAAAGATCTATTGGCGCAGCAAGGGATCTTGAAGGCTTTGCGACCTACAAAGCCGGCGTCGATGGATGAGGAAGATTGGGAAGAATTGCAGCAGCGAGCGGCAGGAACCATACGATTATGCTTGGCGGACGAGGTCATGTATCACGTCATGCATCTATCGTCTCCAGACGAAATTTGGAGGAAGTTGGAAAGTCAGTTTATGTCCAAATCCTTAACGACAAAACTGTATCTGAAGCAGCGGCTGTATGGGCTGAAGATGCAGGACGATCACGATTTGGCGCAACACGTGAATGTCTTCAATCAAATCGTTTTTGATCTGGCTCGGCTTGATGTGAAAATTGAGGATGAAGACAGAGCGATGATTCTGTTGTGTTCGTTGCCTCCCTCTTACGAACACATGGTGACTACTCTTACATATGGCAAAGAGACTATCAATGTTGAGGAGATTACTGCAGCCTTGTTGGCTCACAACCAGCGGAAGCAGAATGCAGGGGAAAGCTCTCAAGCCGATAGTTTATATGTCAAGGGTAATCGAGATCGTGGACGGAAGCCAGAGAAGGCAGGGTCCGGGAAGCGGAATTCCAGATCCAAATCCAGGGATAAGAAGACGATTCACTGTTACAAGTGCAAGGAGGCGGGACATATGAAGCGAGACTGTCCGAAGTTGAAAAAGCAGACTGATGAGAAGCGTGATGGCTCATCCAAGTCTGTGAACGTGGTCGAGGATGATAATTCTGATTGCAGTGAGGGTGATATGCTTTCTATTTCAACGACACAATTGACGGATGCTTGGATTCTTGATTCTGGATGTTCTTATCACATCACGCCAAATAGGGAATGGTTTTCGACATACATGCCGGTTAATTCTGGTTCGGTTTATTTGGGTGATGATCGATGTTGCAATATTGTTGGTATTGGTGATGTCAAAATTAAGATGTACGATGGCTCCGTTCGGACGTTGAGTGGTGTTCGACATATCCCAGACTTGAAGAAGAATTTGATTTCCTTGGGCACTTTGCACAAGAATGGTTTTATCCCTAAGGCTGACGAGGATAGGGAAACCATTCGGATTGTTAAAGGAGCATTGACTGTGATGAAAGGCAAGATGACTGCAGGGAATATCTACAGATTGTTAGGGAGTACCGTTGCAGGTGGAGTTCACTCTGTTGAGTCCTGTGATGATACGACAAAATTGTGGCATATGCGCCTTGCTCATCTTAGTGAACGTGGTATGGCAGAATTACACAAGAGAAACTTGTTGCATGGTGTCAAAAGCTGTAAGCTCGACTTTTGCAAGTATTGTGTTCTTGGTAAACAGACTAAAGTCCGTTTCAAGACTGCGAAGCACACAACTCAAGGGATTCTTGATTATGTGCATTCTGATGTATGGGGGCCTTCCACGACATCGTCTTTGGGTGGATCTAGGTACTATGTTACTTTTATTGATGATTTTTCACGGAAAGTTTGGGTGTATTTTTTGAAACAGAAATCTGAAGTTTTTGAGAAGTTCAAGCTGTGGAAAGCTGAGGTAGAAAACCAAACATGACGAAAAATCAAGTGTTTGCGGTCTGACAATGGTACGGAGTACACAGATTCACAGTTCCTACAATTCTGTAAGGAGCATGGGATTCAGAGGCATTTTACAGTGCGCAAGACACCACAACAGAATGGTGTTGCGGAACGAATGAACAGGTCGTTGAATGAAAGAGCCAGATGTTTGCGGTTGAATGCGGGGCTTCCCAAACACTTCTGGGCTGAGGCTGTTAACATGGCGTGTTACCTTATCAACAGATCGCCAAGGGCATCGCTGGCTGGGAAAGTTGCAGAAGAGGTATGGACTGGTCATGATGTTAGTTTTGATAACTTACGGATTTTTGGTTGTCCTGCTTATGTGCATGTACCTGCTGATGAGAGATCCAAACTTGATGCAAAATCGAAGGAGTGCATTTTTCTTGGTTACAAGAAAGGTGTCAAAGGATTCAAGTTCTGGGATCCAGTTGCGAAGAAAGTTGTGATTAGTAGAGATGTCGTTTTTGATGAACAATCCATGTTCCAGCAGAAGCAAGACACGACAGTGGTGGATTTCGAGCATTTTCCAGTTGAGAAACCAGAAACTTCTCAACCGACTTCTGGTGGTTCCACTACGGATGATTTACAGGATTATAGTCTCGCCAGAGACAGGGTGAGACGGACGAATATAAAGCCTCCGAACAGATTGGGTTTTGAAGACTTGGTATCTTTTGCACTTATTGTTAGCAGTGATGATCCGGTTACTTTTCATGATGCCGTTACTAGTCAAGAAAACGACAAGTGGATGGCAGCCATGGTTGAGGAGATGGAGTCTTTGAATCACAATCGCACATGGGAGTTAGTTCCCCTTCCTGAGGGTAAGAAGCCGATTGGTTGCAAATGGGTGTATAAGAAGAAACCAGTAGTAACAGAAAAAGAGGGGGAGAAGTTCAAGGCTCGTTTGGTAGCGAAGGGTTTTTCACAGCAGAAAGGAGTTGATTATGATGAAATCTTTTCTCTTGTGGTCAGGCACACTTCAATCCGAGCAGTACTTGCATTGGTGGCTAGTTGGGATTTGCATTTAGAGCAGATGGATGTTAAAACTGCTTTTTTTCATGGTGATTTAGAGGAGCAGATCTACATGCGGCAACCTGAAGGTTTCACTCAACCTGGAAACGAGCATTTAGTTTGCAGATTGAAGAAATCTTTGTACGGGTTGAAACAGTCTCCGAGACAGTGGTATAAACGATTTGACTCCTATATGATCAAGATTGGCTACAACCGATGTGAGTATGATTGTTGTGTCTATGTTAAGAGCCTTGATGATGGTTCTTTTATTTTTCTATTACTGTATGTTGATGATATGTTGATTGCTGCGAAGAACATGGATGATGTTATCGGTTTGAAAACTTTATTGAGTCAGGAATTTGATATGAAAGATTTAGGTGCTGCAAAGAAAATTCTTGGAATGGAAATTTGCAGGGACAGAGACTCAAGGAAACTGCGGCTATCTCAACGGGGTTATGTTGAGAAAATGCTAGAAAGGTTTGCGATGAGCAGCGTAAAACCAGTTAGCACTCCATTGGCGAATCACTTTAAGCTCTCATCAGAACAGTGCCCCAAGACAGATAAGGAAGCTGAAGATATGGCAAAGGTTCCGTATTCTAATGCTGTTGGCTGCTTGATGTATGCGATGGTATGTACTCGTCCTGATTTAGCTCATGCTGTTAGTCAAGTTTGTAAGTACATGTCTAAACCTGGTAAGCAACATTGGGAAGCAGTCAAGTGGATCTTTCGGTACTTAAAGGGTACTGTGGGACATGGAATTGTTTTTGGGAGTCAGCGGGATAATCCTTTGGTTGTAGGATATGTGGATTCAGACTATGCAGGTGACTTGGATAATAGAAGATCTACGACAGGGTATGTCTTTACTCTTGGTGGAGGGCCTATTTGTTGGAAGTCTACTGTTCAATCTATTGTGGCTCTATCTACAACTGAAGCTGAGTACATGGCAGCGGCTGAAGCTGCAAAAGAAGCTTTATGGCTTACTGGTTTAGTGAAGGAGTTGGGTGTTCAACAAGGTGGAGTTCAGTTGTTTTGTGATAATCAAAGTGCTATTCACTTGGCTAAGAATCAGGTGTATCGTGCTAGAACTAAACATATTGATGTAAGGTTCCACAAGATCAGAGAGTTTGTTGCATCTGGAGAGGTTTTGTTTCAGAAGGTACATACTGATGAGAATGCCGCTGATATGTTCACCAAGCCAGTTACGACAGACAAGTTCAAGCATTGCTTGGACTTGTTGAATGTTTCGAGTTGTTAAAGAATCAAGGTAACCCAACCCACATTGAATTTTCAAGAGGCAGGATATTCGCCAAGGTGGAGATTTGTTAGGTATGGCTCATAAATATACCAGTAAAGAGGACAGGAGATGGAGCGGAGTGAGCGAAGCGAACATCAACTGTCCTTACAAAGAAAGTCTCGTTGTGGGGTTACGAATTATGTGGGTTGGGGGTGCGGGGCGCAGCCCTCGCGGTACGGTACAGGGTTAATTTTGTAATTATGTACCAGGGTTTTCTATTATAAATAGAGATGTAACCTAGACCTAAAATATCATTGAATAAAAACTTCTAGCGCCGCCTAGGCACCGAGGACGTAAGCACATTGCCGAACCTCGTAAAATTCTCATGTTCTTTTGTTTTCTTTACCCGTTTTCGTCAACAAACTGTAATCTTTTTTTGCACAATTTGCATGGACAAGATAATTACAGCCAGAACAACAGTAACACCCGTGGTTCGAATTCACCTCCTCGGAGCAAATTCTGCATTTCCCTGTTTCGATCTCGTGTTTCCCAAGGAAGAAAGTGTGCGAAATCGGATGACTGTGTCGTGGAAACCTTTTGATGAAGGGTTGCAATGAAATGCACTTCTCATGGACTATAAGTCCACATGGAGAACAGATATAAGAGACACAATCTCCGCTTGTTCCACATGCATCACAAATGAATGGGACTTGTCTCCAAAATAAGATGAATGGGTGTTCATGAATTTCACCTTTGATGGTAGGTTTTGGAGAGAGACACATGACATGAAGGCCAAACTTGCATATGGAACAATAATAAGAAGATGAGAAACCGTGTGTTTATCGACATATTCGACAAAGGAGATGTGTTGAATCGGTCTGCAGAATAAGAGGATGTTCACGGTGACAAGGGTGGCTATAATTTTAGTTGGTCGATCAGCACATGCGATATGAAGGATAAACTCACAAAGGTGAACAACCATAAACAAACCCCCTAAGTTGAGTTTCTCAGCAAATTTGGCAAGGGAGACCCGAACCATTGAATTGTAAAACTAGAGGGTGTTGGCTGTGGAGAAGATGATTGATTTCAGTAGGTAGGTCAAGACAGTTTTTGTGCATGTGAAATCCAGAACCAAGAGAAATGTATGGAGAATCTAGTAATGGTTTCCAACATGCAAAACACTCGGTTTCTTTAAGCTTTTCAGAAGACACCAATGGATCATTTAGGGAAACATCAAAAACACCCCAAGCCTATTTTCAGCAATGGTTTTTGAAAACAAAGCACATTTGATATGAAAGTTCAACTCACAAGAACAGTGATAAACAAACTTCTCACATATGTTATTGCAGAAACCACAAAGAGGATTACCTGCACCACATGGAGTGCTTGTTGGAAGATCAAGGCTATGGCTGCGATGAAACGGGTTGTTCATCTTCACAGGTGCCTCTGCACAATTCTTGTCAAGATGAAACCCACATTCCATGCAGCTAAACCTCGGACCGGACACCGACTCCCCGCATGCACAACAATGAATCTCCTCCACACTCTCTTGGCTCCCCTCATCATTGAAAACAAGAGGATGAACATGGCTAAAGTGTTGAAGAACTTCCATCTCTCTCCTTTTCTTTCTGTGTAAGTTTGTAGGTGATGTAGTTGTTAATGATTTTGCAGATGCACATACTCATGTTTATACACATCAAAAATTTCAAAAAGAAAGAAAAGAATTTTACTTTATCTTCAAGTTTATGTTTGTGCCAAAGCATTTAGATGTACTATCAATAACTTGCTATGAACCCTCTTTATAGGGATTAATCTTTTCCATGTGTCCAGGTAAAGCATAACTCTTTTTTCCTTTTTTTATGAAATAAATATATTAACATAGTTCCTCTCCTTCATATCAGAATAATATATAAATTTCATGAAATTTTTAGAAGAGTAGTTAGCAAGATTTACCTTTCAACCTCCTTATAACTAATGTGATATTTGATTCCGTTGTTTTTACCTTTCTTTTTATCTTATTTTGTAACTTATAACACTCGAATTTAATGTGTCATTTTATTTTGCAAAATTTACATGTTTTACCTTTGTTTGATGAGTTCAATCTACCCTTAACTTTATTTTCAAGTTTTTGTTTTTTTTTACCCTCCCACGATTATCACCAGCATTCTGATCTTGTTTCCCATGAACAATGAGACCTTCTCATTGAAAGCCAGATCCAACCCAAGATGTTTTATTCTGTTATACGAGATTAAGAAAATATAAAAACTTCATCAATTGTGAGAGGCCCGTGACTATATAAAATTTTATCTCAAAAGATTGAATAAGATTGAGGTAACGAACGAAGCAAAATTAATCTTGAATTTTGTTTATTATACTTCACTTTCATGGCATTCAAATCCAAGATAATTTCTTTAAAAGAAGTTCAATGTTCTACTAAAGACATGCATTCTATTCCAATTGAGAGGAATAAAGTTGTTTTAGATGTAACTTATCGGTTAGGGTTTCGACATGCATAATTGCTCCAGCTACACCAACTCAACAACAGTCTTATCCTTAAATATTTCCTGTAAAAGTTCATTCGACAAATACAAATGTAATTGTGATAGGATCTTACGACAATTTCACTTTTTTCCAGTTGTTAACGTCGAAGGCATCCTATTTAACCCAAGCAGGACATCGTCCAAATACATCTGCTCAAGAATTACCTTTATCTTTACTTGTCACGACGCAATTATGAAGTTGTGATCTAACAACAAAAATATCATAATCCAATAACACAATAAGCAATAGATCCTAATTTCAAATAAAAAAACCTCGTAAGTATACATAACTGAGATTACATTATGCAAACGTTTTGTACATTATCAAATGATGACAAGAAAACAAGAAAATCACATATACTTACAAAGAAGAAGATTGAAGAAAAAAAAATCTCCTCACAAGTGAATATTTCAACTTTGATCGCCATGAGCAACAATCTCTTTATTTGATGGTTGTGAACCATAATTATATACTTTGCCGTCCGGAAGAGACATGAAGGGAAGGTTGCATTCCCAGTTAATGATATATTTGCATGCTACATCCGAACACTCAACAGCCAAACCCAAGCAATGCTTACCACATATGCAACTTTCGGGATAATCATAAACCTTCTGCACGAACTCCAGAGAGGGTGGATGGTCGATCTCCCTGAAGGTGATCCCACGTTTGATAAACCAATAATCTGGTAAAATACACTGGTGGTGTGCTGAGTTGTCACAAATTTCACAATAGTAAAACCAAGTGTTGGTGCTTCTTTCTTCTTCACAAATATCACAGTAAAGATATTCTGAATAACCATTATCTTCATGATATGTGAGAACAAGACGATGTCTGTCAAATTTGTACCAAGCTGTTTGTGGTAGGCCGTGACAACTAAAATGCACATTGAAATTGCAAGCCTTGCATCTATATACATTGAATTCACCATTATTTTCACCACAAGCATTGCAGTACTGATCCATATGATCATACTTGTAGTAAAAGAGAAGCGGGTGCTTGTGAAATTCTGCACACCGAACACGTGTATAGTCATTGCATAAATGGACCATACATTTGTAGGCAAAACCACTACATTTGAAGTGACAAATGTTGCAAATAAAAAGGCAGTTCGGAATGAGGTCAACTGGGTCTTGGTGAAGGATCCCAAGAACTTTCATTTTCCTTGGTAACTTGGCACATGATTCGTGGAGGAAAAAATCACAGTCAAAACCATAAGACGAAGTCGTTGTGAGTCCAGTGCAACCATCACAATACCTTTGATCCGTGACTTGATCACTTAACACTAAGTTATGTTGATGGCTAAAATGATTTATCTCTGTATTTATCACTTTTTCTCCAACTTTGATCATTTTAATAACGGAAAAGCTTGGATCCATAGCACCCTCTTCCACCATTGCATTTTCAAACTCATCTTTTGACTCAATTTTTTAATACGACACATCATCCTCTAGTGCACAATTCACATGCATACTGAAGTTTCACTTAGAACAATAGTAACTCCCACATGCCATGTTCACCTCCTCATGACAAAGACAACAATCTTGTGTCTTACACTCATTGTCTACTACAAAGTATTTGTGAGAAATAGGATGGGCATGCCATATGTTTCTGACGTAACGTGGCATTGAAATGCATTTCTTATGGATGATCAAGCTACATGTCAAACAAATGTAAGAGACATGATTTCCTAAAGTGCCACATATATCACAGTTGAATGGAAGTTCTCTTAAACACAAGGTGAATGGTGTTCATGACTACTTGGGTCCTCAATAATAGGAGGTGGTGACACACATTCAACGTGAATGACAAATTTGGAAACCCAACAACAATACACCAGACCTTGATGTTGGGTTTCTTGGCAAATTTTGCAAGGGAGATGATCACTGTTGAATCGTAAGAAAAGGGAATGGTGTCTGTGGGAAAGGTGATTGATTTCAAGAGGTGACTCGAAGCATTTCTTATGTAGGAAAAATCCAGAATCAGGAGAGATGTAATCGGAATCTAGTGAGGACTTCATGCAAAACACTGAACTGTTTCGAGTTCTTAGGGGTGAGATTTGGAAGAGATGGGTGGGTCTTGATAGACAAGTGGTTGAGTCTCCCTATGGGGTTTTTTCAAGGATTTTGTATGAAAGAAATTCAGTGGAGATGTGCCTTCGTTAGAAAAGTTGGATAACCTGAACAGATTGGCCCTGTTCAATAACCATTTGGGACATGGGAGAGAAGGCGACTTGAACTTTTTCTGCACTTTAGTCAACAATACCAAACTAGAATTTCTGTATATAGGCTTCAATAATTTCGGAGGGGTATTTCCCGAATGCATTAGCAATTTTTCAATAACCCTTTTACAAATAGAAATAGAAGGGAACAAAATATTGGGAAGAATCCCGTATGGGATTGGAAATCTCATCAATTTGGAAGTGTTAGCGGCTTCAATAAATCAACTATCAGGCCCCATTCCCTTTGGTATTGGGAGGCTTCAGAAGCTAAAGATATTATATGCTGATACTAATTCTCTCTCTGGGGTTATTCCAAATTCTATTGGAAATTTAACAACGTTAACTAAACTTTTTTTAGATCATAACAATCTTCAGGGCATAATTCCTTCAAGTCTAGGCAAGTGCCAAATGTTGTTATATTTGGCTTGAGAGGAACTATTAGTTATGCTCCGCCAGGTAATTACATTGAATTCATTTCTTCTACAATTATCTAGAGCGTTTTTCTATTCAATTACTTGTATATGTTATTTGTGATGAACTAAATGTAGAATATGGCATGGGAAGCGAGCTGTCAACAGAAGGTGATATGTATATTTATGGCATCCTCTTGCTAGAGATGTTTACAGGAAAAAGGCCAACTGATGAAATGAAATGTTCGAAGAAGGTTTAAGTCTTCACAACTTTGTTAGAGAAGCTTTTCCTGATCGAATGATTGAGATTATAGATCCTATCCTTCTTGAAGAGTGTAAGAGGAGGAACGGTTGCAGATATCACTCCCAATGAAAACAGATGAGAAATGAAAGTCTTCAATGCTTGAATTTGATATTCGAAATAGGTCTCAATTGTTCTGCTGAATCACTGGCTGAGCGGATGGGGATGAATGATGTTGTTACCCAGCTTTGTTCGGCGAGGGACAAGCTTCTTGGTCAAACTCGATTCTGTCATGGGATTTAAACGTCATACGCTGCTCAATCATCAGGTTGTGATGCTTTCATATCTTAGCAAAATACTCAATCATTTCATCACTTAAGCCACATTTACATTACTTTTCTAATGAAATCTTGTGCTTAAATAAATCCTTGTTTCATAAGTTGCAGGCATCTAAGGTATGGTATGGATGAACTTGAGAGGCACATGTCTGGAGAAGTGCTTGTTGATCTCTTTTGTTTACATTCTGCTAGTGAAAAGAAAATAAACATGGAGTTGTTCCAGTGTTCCACCAATAATTTTGTCTTAACATCATCCAAGGTTTTTGGAAAAACAAGAGTTGCAGAAATTCATTGAAACAAGTCCAAGAAAACACACCTTAAATAATCTAAGATCATCAACCCTTCTCTGACAAGTAAACAAAATTAATATACCATGGAGACAAAAGGACAGCCCCAATCTAATGCTGCTTTGCCCCCCTTAAAAGAATATGGATCTCTCTCTCTTAACAATCACCCGAATTCACAAACCCTAAATTCTAATCCCCGTCTTTAAACAAAGTAATGCCTACCCGCCATTGTTGATTTCGTTACTACCCTCGATGAACATCGTTACAGGTTGCATCATCCCCCAAGTGTCATTTCTGATGCAGGATTTTTAGGGGTTGGTGGTAGTTACGGCTATTCAAATGAGCGGAATGTGTAATATACAAAAGAACCAAAGTAAGGTACACTCGATCACAAGGCAAACTAAATCAGTCGGTACTGGCGCAAGCCTTTCCCGAAATGAGGTTGCATTAAGCGAACATACAAGCCATTTTTCGCTACCAAAGAATCATGTGTCCCTTCCTCCACGATTCGACCGCCGTTAAGTACAACGATGTTGTCGACATGTCTCATCATCGCAGCTCTATGGGCTATCAAAATGGTAGTTTTGTTCCCCATTATCAGCGTATCAAGCGCCTCCTGCACCACTCGGCTTGACTCGGATTCAATGGATGAGCTAGCTTCATCCAATAATAAGATGGGAGCATTCTTTAGCACCACTCGAGCGATAGCAATTCTTTGTTTCTGTCCTGGGGTCAAATCGACACCCCTCATGCCAACATGTGTGTCGTAACCATGAGGCAAGCTGCTGATGAAATGGTGAGCATTAGCTATTCTCGCGGCTTCTTTCATCTCAGCTTCGCTAGCATTGTGCCTTGCATATATAATGTTTTCCTTGATAGTAGTAGAGAAGATGATGGGTTCCTGTTGAACAAGACCTAAGTGATTCCTCAACCACCTCAGATTGTATTGTTTTAAATCCCGCCCGTCGAGTAGAACCTGACCTGCTACTGGATCATAGAATCGCTCGATGAGAGATATTATGGTACTCTTCCCAGATCCTGAAACTCCAACAACAGCTAAAGTTTGTCCGCCATTAACTTTAAGACTAAAATTGCTTAATACCAACACTTCCGGACGAGTAGGATAGCAGAAATCAACATTTTTCAACTCAATCCTCCCATATACATTAGGTGGCTTCAATGCCGAGTTATCGTCTGGCTCAATTTTAGGGACTCGCTCAATAATTTCAAACACTGAAGCGAGAGATTCCCGTCTCTTGAGAATGTATGGTGCCAATCCAAATGGCTCCACCAGTGCAAAAGTTGCAAAGGAGAAAACCATGTACTCCTTGACAGCAGTAGGCAGATCCATATAGCCTCTTTTAACACAGAGAGCAGTGTACCAAAGGAGAAGAGCATTGCAGGCGAAAAGAAGGAACTGTGAAAAGCCGAATGCAAACCCTATTGCCATTCCATGAAAGAAGCTCTTTTTCAATATTTTCTTCAGCTGCAACCTGTAGAGCTCCATTACCTTATTACCGGCACAAAATGCTACAACCGTGTAAATGTTTCTCACGGCATCCTCAAGGACCAATGATGCCTTCCTATGCATCTCCTGGATTCCCTTAGAAAATCCAGCAAGCCATAATTTCTGAAACATTCAAATATGCAACAATTCAGAAATTAGGACATGGGCAATCTTCCATCCAAGTTTAAATAAGAAAGAAAAAGGCAAATATATTGAGGAGAAAAAAAAAGAAGCAAACATAATACATGGAATTGAGAACAATTAACTTGCACGGCTCTCTAGAGACTCCACTTGTTTTTATCCAATAATGAAGTGAATTAATAATAATAGAAGATATGAAAACCTGTGCAATAGCAGAGACAGTTAGAACTGGCAGGGTCGCAAACGCCACAAGTGCCAACCGCCAATGTAGCAACAACCCAATTAGCAAAGCAACAATAACAGCAGTACTATCCTGTACAAATATTGAAAGTCGGTTGCTAAAAGCAGCCCGTACAAATGTAGCATCATTTGCCAATTGCATCGACAAGGTGTCAGCGTTATTCTCTTCTTCATCAAACCATCCAACTTCATTCCGCAGCATTGCTGTCAGTGATAGGCAAAATATGGTAAACAATGTGCATTGAATTCAGCATTCTAGTAAATTTGCAATATGGATTTGAAGAATCAGATACCTGAGAACATCATCCTACGAACTCGTTCAGTCATCTTTTCCCCCATAATGCCAAAATAGAAGTGCTGCAAAAAGTTGGCAACAACAGTTACTATACCCATACAGGCAATTATCAAACACCACCTGTCAACTTCATCCTGTAAGTGATGATGTTCCTGTCTCCTATAATATGCTGTTACTATCAGAGCGATAACATAAGCAAGAAGTGGATTAAAAGAGCCAAAGATTGCTGCACCAATGCTTCCCAACACAGCGTAGAGCCATTCTGCGAAACTTAGCTGTGCTAACCTCCAAAAGGATGGAGCTTCCTTATGATGCGCTTCCTTAGCTTTCACTGGGATGTCACCAGAGTGACTGATAGGACGACTAAAAGTCTGAGAATGAGAACGTTCACTTTTAGGATCAGAAGTTAGAAGGGGTGATACAGGGGATTCTGGGTCAGAACTGTTAGATTTCTGCCTCTGGGTAGACTGAATGTCAAGCTTGGGCAACTCTGGTAGCCTCATTTCAAAACTATCCTGCCTCTTGATTGATGGTTCCTTATCATTACTATCCACAGGCAAACCATTTTCATGCATTTTCTCTGGTGGTGGACTATGGGCCTTAGGTGATTCTTTTGACTTAAAAGCACCATCATGGGTCTGAAATACACCAGGAACTCTTTGAAGAGATGGTGATTTGATCAATTTTGGAGATGATGATTCTTGGAAGCTGTAAATT